AAAATGTCTCGCAATCCGAAAGTGGCTGGTTCCTCGGGTCATTTGGAGCAACTTTTTCCTTTACGAAAATGTTCTCCAAGGCACCGTTAACGAGTTATCAACGAAAAACAGTGACCAATGAGAGGCGAGCTCGGCCGGCGCGCGGCGACCGAGCCAATGAGCGGAACCGGGCTTCGCGCGCTGGTTGGCTGGGCCGCTTCGCGTCAGCCGTACTCGATTCTTATTGGTCGCTGCTTTTCGTTGATAACTCGTTAACGGTGCCTCGGAGAAAATTTTCGTAAAGGAAAAAGTTGCTTCAAATGATCCGAGGAACCCGCCATTTCCGGATTGCGAGACATTTTTGGGACAGCCTGTATAACCGATGCGACAATTTATTTACCATCGTCCAACGGATTCACGGGCATTATATTCGTCGAATCGTTCGATTTAATCGTTATTTAGAAAGCCGTTCCTCGCCATAGCCCGCATTATTGATTCGATCTCTAGTTAAAACGTACAAGCGAACTGTCTCGCGGCAGTCACAACCACTTGTATCGATTGTCTCTCGCGTTCGCGTGTACTGCCAATATGCGGCAGGTACTACAGGTACCAGGGAATTAAATTGCATTGTAAATCGGCTCTATCGATGCCGACGCGCGCCGTTTACGTGTGTTTCTGACGCGGCCGTTCGCGTCCCTCGATTTTCCACCGTGCCGGACACGAGCGCGAATTTCGCGAAAATCACGCGAAATCTCCGGTCTCGATAAGAACGATATTATACCGGTCTACTTGCGTGCGTTCTTTCGCTCGCTCCCGGTCCCTCTGCGCCGCTACGCCACGCTGTCTCTCTCTCGCGTGCTCTTTCTCTCGCGCGCTCTGGCTCTCGCGCGCTTTCTCTCTCGCGCTCTGGCTCTAGCGCGCTCTGTCTCTCGCGCTCTGGCTCCCGCGCGCTCTCTCTCGCGCGCTCTATCTCTCGCGCTCTGGCTCTTGCGCTCTGTTACTCGCGCGCTCTGGCTCTCGCGCGCTCTGTCTCTCGCGCTCTGACTCTAGCGCGCTCTGTCTTTCGCGCGCTCTGGCTCTCACGCGCTCTCTCTCTCTCGCGCGTGCTCTCACTCGCTCTCTCCCGCAACCCGATGAAAGGAGATACCGATCGAGAACGAGGTCAGTAGAGAACACTATCCTTATCCTTGCGGTGCACGGGATGCTCCTTACCGCGGGGCACAATTGATAAAGAAGAGCATTCCCTGTCCCCCGGCGCGTTCGCGCGCGGCGGTTCAACCGTTAATTAGAATTGAACAGAGCGGCCAGTGTGCTCGCGGATCGGGCCGCCACCAGGCTCTCGTCTTCGCGGGCATTGATCGGCGGCGGCGGCGGCGGCGGCGGCGAGGAAAGTCGAAGCCGACGACGACGACGACGACAACCGGCGACGACACAACGTAGAGCCCCGCGCAAACTGTGACCGTGAATATACACACGTCTCCGACACGGCACCACCGTGTAGGTGTCCGGGTGGGTTTGATGCACATGAGCGATATGCGTTTTCTCCGTACGGCGTCGTTTTAACTCTCGTGTCAAGGACAGCGAGTCGAAGGACCCACGTGCGTTGTTAGGCCTGTATCTATAGATTTTTCTTCGAAAATAAAACGCAGGGCGCTCGCCGCCCTGGCCATAAAACGCGACACATACATACATACACACGTATGTATACATGCATATACATGCATACATACATGCTACGGACGTTCGGTGGCGGCTGGCCGGCTCTAGAAGCCCCGACTAGGTTAGGACGGACGTTCTGCGTCCTGCGATCGGTAAACGAGTTCGAATTAGCACAAGAAAATGGCGAATCGGCGAGGATCGTTCGCTAGGGGAACTAGAAAGATCTCTCTCTCTCTCTCTCTCTCACTCTCTCTCTCTCTCTCTCTGTCTCTCTGATTTGAAAGAAATCGTGAACTTAACGTTCACTCCGACTCCGAGGCCCGGTTCTGAATTATGTCCAAGGCGAGCGCGCTGGCAACAAGATACGAAAGCTCTTGAACGAAGAACACCAATCAGGGGCGTGAGCATCGTTGCGTGCCAACACGTTTTGCTTCGCGGAGCGGGGCGAAAGGGAGGTAAAAAATGGCAAAATAACGAAACTCTCTCGAGGTGTATCGTTCGCGGAGCGGTTCTCGCCGGCGTATTTTCGCGCACTGCAGACGCCGGAGACACGATGACACACACACACACACACGCGCGCGCGCGCGCGCGGTCGATGAATATTCGATCGATTCGATCGGATCGTAGCCTACGAAAACTACGCCGGAATTCCCCCCCCCCCCCGTCGGCGAGATTTATTTTTCGAGGAGAAATAAAGGGAAATAATAAAACCGTCGCGGACTCGAGTTTCCGCGAGTCTCGAGTGAATTTTATAAATTTACTCGTAACAAAAATGTTGTAACGAAAAATATTGTAACAAACAGTATCAAACATATTATTATATGTTAGTATTAAAATATTAAGTATTCAAATATATATCAGTATTATATATCAGTATGAAAATGTCGTAACAAAAATATTGTAACGAATCGAACGAGTTCGAGGGTTATGGTAAACGCGTCGGAATCGATAGCCGAGGCGATAATGGTTGAGTGCCACTGCACACGAGTGCCGTGCATAGTGGTAGTGGTGGTGGTGGTGGTAGTAGCTTGATTGCCGGACAATGGAATCTAACGAGACGGGGTTGAAGATTGTCTTATTGATCTCGCGAAAGTGGAAAGCACGATAATATGGCGCGCTGTCCATTCACGATTTAGCAAAACACGTACGCGGATTCTTTCGAACGAGTTCCGTCGGCGTCGCCATTAAAAGCGACGGCGGCGGCGGCTTCGATTCGTAATTAAAATCGAAGGAAACCGGCGGCGCCGATCGATTCGAAAACCGTCGAGGAATTCACTTTACCGACCGCGAGATATTTCTCGCGAGCCTTTCTCGCCGGAATAATTAATCTAAATAATTTCGCGAACGTGCGAAAAATCGGGTTAAACGAGGACACACGTGTTCTCGCGAAAGCGCTCGAAAATAAATTCATTTAGGAGACCGGTGTGTTCTTCTTTCGAAGCATAGAACAATCCCACGTGCTTTCCCCGCGTTGCACGATTTCTAGATATAATTAATAGCGGACTTATATTTGGCTCGTACTCGAACACAGTGTGTGCACGGTGCAGGTTCGTCGTCCCGGAATATTCGAATAGCCCGGCTGAATCACGTTGGAAAGGTGCAACGATGCACGACGGTTCAATGTATTACAAAAAGTATGTACGTATATGCGCCGCCTTCACTTATTCCCCAAAATCTCAAGACTTTCGAGCATTCTACCGCTGCGAGATCGAACGCGCTCCGCGGCTCGAAATCTCTCCTCGCCTGGACACTAGAACGAACTCGGTTATCTTTGTTGTCCCAAAACGACCACGACGACGTCGAGGATACGGATCGTACGCGTGGAGGTGGCACGACACCATCGACGGAACGGGAACTTTCGGCGAGCCGTGCGGTGTCGCGATTGAAAATTAAAGTGCGCGAAAGGGAAAGTAGACATTTGAAACGCGCACGATTCCTTCAGCCGCGAGTGCACCGTTATTTATAGCGAGTGCCGGCGGGAATCGAGAACGAGGAAGGAGAGAGAGCACGAGGAGGAAAGGGAGGTTGGCGCGCGTACACACGCCGGGCGACAAGAAGAGAGGCCGGGCGGTTGTGCCGCCACGCACGGCGGACCCGTGGCGCCATCTGGAACGTCTCGGAGAGTCTACGGTACCGGGGATAGCAGTCGCGCTCGCGGTACCAGCGGCGGACGCGGGTCGGTAAGACAGGGAGGGGGAGAACGCCGAACGGTAAAAAGGGTCGCTGCAGCGCGAGACCGCGCGCGGCGTTCCGCTGGAACGGAAGGACGAAAGGGTTAACCTCCGACGGATCTACAGAGACGCGGATAACCCGGCGAGCGGGTTAAATCGCGCGAGGGTAATCCCCGCCGTCGGTAAAACCGACGCGGAGAGCGAGGATTTGCTTCGCTGTCGATGCGAGCGAACAGAAAATATAACGCGCAACGAAGAGAAAGTTTTTCGGATCGTCTCTTGCTCTCCTCTATCGCGGCTAATTCGTTTCGCTTCGCGACCGCACTTTTAAAACCGCGATCGGCTGGTACCGATCCGTCGACTTCGTCGTAACGATTTCATTCGAACAATTTCGTATCCCAGATCGCGAACGATTCGCGTTCCGAATGATCGTGGAAATCGTCACTTTGAATCGCGTAGAACGTTGCGCGGAGCCGGAAAACGAGTCCGTTCCGAAAACGGGACGCGACGCGACGGCAATTTTTCTAACCTTTATCTCTTGGTGTGTTTCTCTTACCTGAAGCTCCGCCTGCGAGACGTCGATCTCGCCCCTGTAAACGAACTCTATGATGAACTTGAGATCATTGAAACAGACGTCCTGCGGCATGATGATGGTCGGATGCTTGCACGGGTTCGAGAGCAGAAGCTTCTGAAAATAGGAACTGCACGCCGACAATACTACCTGCGTGAAAGAAAGACGGCGTGTGTCAGTGGGGGTTGCCGGAGATCGAATAGAATCGTCGGTTTAAGGTTAGGCGATTCGGGGGGGGGGGGGG